ATCATAACACAGCTGTATATGACCACCATAACACAGCTGTATATGACCACCATAACGCAGCTGTATATGACCACCATAACGCAGCTGTATATGACCTCCATAACACAACTGTATATGACCACCATAACACAGCTGTATATGACCATCATAACACAGCTGTATATGACCACCATAACACAACTGTATATGACCACCTTAACACAACTGTATATGACCACCATAACACAGCTGTATATGACCACCATAACACAGCTGTATATGACCTCCATAACACAACTGTATATGACCACCATAACACAGCTGTATATGACCATCATAACACAGCTGTATATGACCACCATAACACAGCTGTATATGACCTCCATAACACAACTGTATATGACCACCATAACACAGCTGTATATGACCACCTTAACACAGCTGTATATGACCACCATAACACAGCTGTGTATGACCATCATAACACAGCTGTATATGACCACCTTAACACAGCTGTATATGACCACCTTAATACAGCTGTATATGACCACCATAACACAGCTGTATATGACCACCTTAATACAGCTGTATATGACCACCATAACACAGCTGTATATGACCACCTTAACACAACTGTATATGACCACCTTAACACAGCTGTATATGACCACCATAACACAACTGTATATGACCACCATAACACAGCTGTATATGACCACCATAACACAGCTGTATATGACCACCTTAATACAGCTGTATATGACCACCATAACACAGCTGTATATGACCACCATAACACAGCTGTATATGACCACCTTAACACAGCTGTATATGACCACCTTAACACAGCTGTATTTGACCACCTTAACACAGCTGTATATGACCACCATAACACAGCTGTATATGACCACCATAACACAGCTGTATATGACCATCATAACACAGCTGTATATGACCACCATAACACAGTTGTATATGACCACCTTAACACAACTGTATATGACCACCTTAACACAACTGTATATGACCACCATAACACAGCTGTATATGACCACCTTAACACAGCTGTATATGACCACCATAACACAGCTGTATATGACCACCTTAACACAGCTGTATATGACCACCATAACACAGCTGTATATGACCACCTTAACACAACTGTATATGACCACCATAACACAGCTGTATATGACCACCATAACACAGCTGTATATGACCACCATAACACAGCTGTATATGACCACCTTAACACAACTGTATATGACCACCTTAACACAACTGTATATGACCACCATAACACAGCTGTATATGACCACCATAACACAGCTGTATATGACCACCTTAACACAACTGTATATGACCACCATAACACAGCTGTATATGACCACCATAACACAGCTGTATATGACCACCATAACACAGCTGTATATGACCACCTTAACACAACTGTAGATGACCATCATAACACAGCTGTATATGACCACCTTAACACAACTGTAGATGACCATCATAACACAGCTGTATATGACCACCATAACGCAGCTGTATATGACCACCATAACACAGCTGTATATGACCTCCATAACACAGCTGTATATGACCACCATAACACAGCTGTATATGACCACCATAACACAGCTGTATATGACCATCATAACACAACTGTATATGACCACCATAACACAACTGTATATGACCACCATATATTCCGGGAGCTGGCCGGCCGAGCGGACAGCACGCTGGGCACGTGATCCTATGTCCCGGGTTCGATCCCGGTCGCCGGCGAGAAACGATGGTCAGAGTTTCTTTCACCCTATACCCCTGTTACCTAGCAGTATATAGGCACCTGGGAGTTAGTCAGCTGTCAAGGACTGCTTCCTAGGGGTGGAGGCCTGGTCGAGGACTGGGCCGCGGGGACTCTAAAGCCTCGAAATCAACTCAAGATAGATCCTTTTCCCCGTCCTTCCCCTGCCCCTTCCATAATCACTTACCTTACCCATTTCCTTAGTCCCGTATCCCCACACCTTACCTCGCCACTTCCCCCCTGCACCTTCTCCTGCCCCTTTCACCTCCCTTCCCATCCCTTACTTGTACCCATTCCCAGCCCTTTTCCCGAACCATTACTGGTCCTCTTCTCCCTGTCCCTTCCCCCCGCCTCTTCTTCCCCTCTCACCCTCACCCAATCCCAGTCCCCCAACACTTTTCCTCCAACCCCGTCCTTTCCTCCACCCCCTTACCCCATCCCGGAGCCTGTCGGCCGAGCGGACAGCATACTGGACTCCTGTGGTCCTGGATCTTGTCCAGCACACTGGACAAGATCCTGTGGTCCCAGGTTCGATCCCGGGCGCCGGCAAGAAACAATGGGCAGAGTTTCTTTCACCCTATGCTCCTGTTACCTAGCAGTAAAATAGGTACCTGGGTGTTAGTCAGCTGTTACGGGCTGCTTCCTGGGGGCGGAGGCCTGGTCGAGGACTGGGCCGCGGGGTCACTAAAGCCCCGAAATCATCTCAAGATAACCTCAAGATAACCCCTTTTAATCTTTCCACAACCCCTCATCGTGTTACTAATTAAAAAAAATGTAATTTACGGAGCAAAAATTTTCTTGAGCTTTTGGAATTTTCTACAGGAGGTGCCATAAATATTTTAAATCATTCATTATCAATAACTAATTTATTTTTTCATATTTATGAGATAAACTCATACTGATTTTGATTGAATTACATATGCTTCAAACCGGATTGATCCTGCACCTTCGACCATATCTAGTGCTTAAGTGTTTAGATTAAGGGGGTGACCTCTGGTGTGTTCGTCAACATGACGATAAGAACTTGCTTCTCTATCTACGCTTCGAGGAGCACACTTCCCACAGTTAATGAATTTTACTCCAGTTGTGACTGTAGCAGTAACACACTTTCGTTTAGCAGTAACAGTAACACACTAGAGTGTGCCAGTAGCAGTAACATACTAGCATGTGACAATATCATTAACACACTACCTGGTAACCTTAGCAGTAACACACTTGCTGGTGACAGTAGCAGTAACACACTAGCATGTGACAGTAGCAGTAACATACTATTAGTTGAGAGTAGCAGTAACACACTAGTGGGTAACAGTAACACACTAGTGGGTAACAGTAACACACTAGTGGGTAACAGTAACACACTAGTGGGTAACAGTAACACACTAGTGGGTAACAGTAACACACTAGTGGGTAACAGTAACACACTAGTGGGTAACAGTAACACACTAGTGGGTAACAGTAACACACTAGTGGGTAACAGTAACACACTAGTGGGTAACAGTAACACACTAGTGGGTAACAGTAACACACTAGTGGGTAAAAGTAACACACTAGTGGGTAACAGTAACACACTAGCGGGTGAGGGAAGCAGTAACAACTAGTGAGTGACAGTAGCAGTAACAAACTTGCAAGTGACATTAGCAGTAACTCACTAGCATGTGACAGTAGCAGTAACATACTACTGTGAGGTAGTAAAAATAACACACTAGCTGGAGGCTTTAGCAGAAACACATCATCGAGTGGCAGTAGCTGTAATACACTAGCAGGTGGCACTAGCTGGTGACATTAGCAGTAACACTCTAGTGTGTGATAGAAGCAGTAACACACTAGTGTGTGATAGAAGCAGTAACACACTAGCATGTGACAGTAGCACTAACTCACTACAGGTGACCGTTGTAGTAACACCTGCGGGAGACAGTAGCAATAACACACTGGTTGGTGACAGAAGCAGTAACACACCAGCGGGTGATAGTAACAGTAATACACTAGAGTGTAACAGTAGCAGTAACACACAAGTGGATGACGGTATCAGTAACACACTAGTCGGAGACAATAGCAGTATCACACTAGTGAGTTTCAAAATCAGTAACACCCTAATGGATGACAGTATCAGTAACACACTAGTCAGTGACAGTAGGAGTAACACATTTGTGGGTGACAGAAGCAGTAACACACTAGTATGTGAGAGAAGCGTTAACATATTAGTAGGTGACAGTAGCAGTAACACACTAGATGGTGAGAGTAGCATTAACATACAAGTGAGCGTCAGTTACAGCAACACACTAGCATGTGACAGTAGCAGTTACGTATTAATAGGTGACAGTAGCAGTTACAGATTAATAGGTGACAGTAGCAGTAACACACTTGTGAGTAGCAGAAAAACACTAGCTTGTGAGAGTAGCAGTAACATACATGTGATTGACAGAAGCAATAACACACTATTGGGTGAGAAAAGCAGTAACAAATTAGCATGTGACAGTAGCAGTAACATACTAGCAGGAGACAGTAACATATACACACTAGTTGGTGACAGAAGCAGTAACACAATAGTGAGTGACCGTAGTAGTAAAACACTAGGAGGGGGGGGGGGCGATAAGCAGTAACCCTAGTGGGTGACTGTAGCAGTAACACACTAGTATGAGACAGTAGCAGTAACATATTCGTAGTTGACTGTCGCAGTAAAACGCTAGTGACCATAGCAGTAATACAAGTAGTAATATAAGTAGCAGAAACACACTTGCACATGACAGTAGCACTAACACCTTAGCGGGTATCAGTAGCAGTAACACATTAGTGGGAGTGAATAACAATAACACTAGCATGTGACAGTAGCAGTAAGATGCTACCGGGTGACAGTAGCAGCAACACACTTCAGGTAAGAATATCAGTATCACACTTGCGGGTGACAGTAGCAGTAACATACTAGTGGGTTTGAGTATCAATAACACACTAGCGGGTGGCAGATGCAGAAACACACTAGAGGGTGACAGTAGCAGTAACAAACTTCCGAGTGACAGTAACAGTAACACACTAGCGGGTAACTATAGCAGAAACACACTAATGGTGACAGTAGCAGTAACACAGTTGCATGTGATAGTAGCAGGAACTTTCTTGTCGGTGACAGTAACAGTACCTCACTACCATGTGACAGTAGCAGTAACATACTGCGGTTAACAGTTGCAGTAACACACTACTGGGTTTGAGTATCAATAACACACTAGGAAGTGACAGTAGCAGTAACACATTGGCAGTTGACAGTAGCAGTAACACATTGGCAGTTGACAGTAGCAGTAACACATTGGCAGTTGACAGTAGCAGTAACACATTGGCAGTTGACAGTAGCAGTAACACATTGGCAGTTGACAGTAGCAGTAACACATTGGCAGTTGACAGTAGCAGTAACACATTGGCAGTTGACAGTAGCAGTAACACATTGGCAGTTGACAGTAGCAGTAACACATTGGCAGTTGACAGTAGCAGTAACACATTGGCAGTTGACAGTAGCAATAACACATTGGCAGTTGACAGTAGCAATAACACATTGACAGTTGACAGTAGCAGTAACACACTGGCAGTTGACAGTAGCAGTAACACATTGGCAGTTGACAGTACCAGTAACACATTGGCAGTTGACAGTACCAGTAGCACATTGGCAGTTGACAGTAGCTGTAACAAACTAGCGATAGTAGACAAAATGACAGTAACACGTTCTGGACTGAAGCATTAACACAAGAGCGGGTGACATAAGCAGTAACACATTAGTAGGTGATAGTAGCAGTAACATACTACCTGGTGCCAATGACAGTAACACACTGGCAATTTACAATAGCAGTAAAACACTATCGGGTGAGAGTAGCAGTTACACTATTGCATGTAACATTAACAATAACGCACTTGCTGGTTATTTTAACACACATACTAGCGAGTGACAGTTGCAGTATAATACTACAGGGAAACTGTAGCAGTAACACACTAGCTGGTGACAGCAGCAGTAACACAGGGGGCCTCGTAGCCTCTAAGGGGCCTCGTAGCCTGGTGGATAGCACGCAGGATTCGTAATTCTGTGGCGCGGGTTCGATTCCCGCACGAGGTAGAAACAAATGGGCAAAGTTTCTTTCACCCTGAATGCCCCTGTTACCTAGCAGTAAATAGGTACCTGGGAGTTAGTCAGCTGTCACGGGCTGCTTCCTGGGGTGTGTGTGTGTGTGTGTGTGTGTGGTGTGGAAAAAAAAAAAAAAAAAAAAAAAAGTAGTTAGTAAACAGTTGATTCACAGTTGAGAGGCGGGCCGAAAGAGCAAAGCTCAACCCCCGTAAAAACACAACTAGTAAACACAACTAGTAAACACTAGCTGGTGACAGTAGCAGTAACACACTAGCTGGTGACAGTAGTAGTAACACACTAGCTGGATACAGTAGCAGTAACACACTTGCATGTGACTAGCGATAACATTCTAGTAGGTGACAGTAGCAGAAACACACTTGTGGGTATCAGTAGCAGCAGCACACTAGTTGGAATGAGTAATAATATCATACTAGCATGTGACATTAGCAGTAAAATGCTACGGGTGACAGTAGCAGTAACACACTGTCAAGTGAGATTATCAGCAACACACTAGCGGGTGACAGTAGCAGTAACACAGATGTGGGTGAAAGTTACATTATTACAAACGTTGGTGACAGTACAGTAACAAACGAGCATGTGACAGTAGCCATAACGCACTAACGGGTGGCATAAGCAGTAATACACTAGCTGGGGACGGTAGCAGTAATGCACTAATATGTGTCATTACAAGTAACACACTAGCGGTTGACAGTAGCAACAACACACTAGCGGTTGACAGTAGCAACAACACACTAGCGGTTGACAGTAGCAACAACACACTAGCGGTTGACAGTAGCAACAACACACTAGCGGTTGACAGTAGCAACAACACACTAGCGGTTGACAGTAGCAACAACACAGTAGCGGGTGACAGTAGCAACAACAGATTAGCGGGTGACAGTAGCAGTTACACAATAGTTTGACAAAAGTAATACTCCCGTAGTGGAAGACAGTAGCAGAAACACACTAGCGGATGTGAGTAGCAGTAACACATTAGCGGAGAAAACATCTAACAACATCACTAACATCAGAACAGCTTTCAGGAACCTGTGCAAGGAATCATTCAGAACCCTGTATACCACATATGTAAGACCAATCCTGGAGTATGCGGTCCCAGCATGGAACCCGTACCTTGTTAAGCACAAGACGAAGCTTGAAAAAGTTCAGAGGTATGCCACTAGGCTAGTCACAGAACTAAGAGGCATGAGTTACGAGAAAAAGGCTGCGGGAAATTCATCTCACGACACTGGAAGACAGAAGAGTAAGGGGAGACATGATCACTACCTACAAAATTCTCAGGGGAACTGACAGGGTCGATAAGGATAAACTGTTTAACACGGGTGGTATGCGAACAAGGGGACACAGGTGGAAACTGAGTACCCAAATGAGCCACAGGGACGTTAGAAAGAACTTTTTCAGTGTCAGATTAGTTAATAGGAGGAATGCATTAGGCAGTGATATGGTGGAGGCTGACTCCATACACAGCTTCAAGTGTAGATATAATAAAGCCTAGTAGACTCAGGAACTTGTACATCAGTTGATTGACTGTTGAGAGGCGGGACCAAAGAGCCAGAGCTCAACCCCCGCAAGCACAAATAGGTGAGTACTTGTGGGTGACAGTAGCAGAATCGCACTAGTGAGTTTCAGTATCAGTAGCACCCAAATAGATGACAGTATCAGAAACACACTTGTCAGTGACAGTAGCAGTAACACATTAGTGGGTGGCAGAAGCAGTAACACACTAGTATGTGAGAGAAGCAGTAAACATCAGGAAGAAACAAAGGAGGTGACCAGTGTTAAAAAGACCTCGCCTTAGCAAGTTGTAAAGGGCAGGGGTCTTAAGAAGACCTTGGCAAAACCGACACCTAATAGCCTAAGGGCTTCTAACGCATTTAATGTGTTAGAGGACGAGTGCTGTGGTGAACCTGTAGTTCAACGAGGAGGCAAAGGCAAAGCAACGAGGAACATTGAAGCGCAGGTCCCTCAAAGTGCCCTAAAGGAAAAGCGAATTTTGGTTGTGGGAGATTCCCAGGTGAGGTATTTAGACAGAACGTTTTGTGCCAGAGATAAAAGAAACAGGTTAAGGGTTTGCTATCCGGGAGCTGGTATTGGTGATATTGTTGGAAACATGAAAGATATTATGACGGGAAATGGGAACAAACCCATTATTTGTATTAGTGCAGCGGGTAATGATGTTGGGCGAGTTAGGAGTGAGGAACTAATACAGACATTCAAGAATGCAATAGAATTAGTTAGGAGCAAGGGAGGAATCCCGATCATATGTGGCATTCTTCCAAGAAAGGGAGTGGGAAATGAATGGATGTCAAGGGCACTTGGTTTCAATTGCAGGCTGGAGAGATATTGGAAATCTAATGCAATATCTTTCATAGACAACTGGGAATACTTCTATGGAAGAAATGAAATGTATGCTCGGGATGAGGTTCATCTATCGAGGGCTGGGGTTGTTGCTGTTGCGAACTCGTTGGAACCAGTGGTTACAGGTGTTTGTTTGGGTTTAAACTGTTAGCAGATAGTGGAATGGGAATTGATTTGGAGGAAGGAGATAATAAAAGTATGTGTTTGGGGGAGAAAGGAATTGGTAAAATAATCAGGGAAATTAAAGGGCCTCAAAATAACAATTCACTTAAGGTATATTACACTAACAGTAGAAGTCTAAGAAATAAAATAAACGAATTAAATGCTCTTGTCTGCACAGAAAAAATAGATATTATCGCACTTACCGAAACGTGGATGAATGTAGAAAATAGAGAACTATTAGCTGAATATCAAGTAAATAGATTTAAACTATTTCTCACAGATAGATATATTTGTGGGACATTTGGGGCTTGACTCTATATATTTAAATATTAATGTAATAAAATCAATTACGAAGGACCACCTGCTTTTATAGTAAAGAGGGAAACTAAGAAAATATGATCATTAGAAAATTCCTAGATGAACCAGTAACTATGGATAAAATACTAGAGAATATGATCACTGAAATAATTAATGGGCTGTATAATTAAATGAATCAAAGCCTCAAACACCTACATTGGGGGGGTATTACTGGAACTCAGTACGTCCAGGAACTAGTGTGGTTCGTTCACCAGTCCAATGTATAATAATCTAATCCTATGAACATTATAGAATCATTATCGTTATCATCAAAGAGAACATAGATTATGAACATGAATAATAATACTCATAATAAACACATGCTAATCCAATGAATAGAGTTCTGCATGTAAAAGAGTACAGATAATGGAAATCGAGGAATACAAAAAGGAATCTTAGCTTAAAGACGATTTCCAAGAAGTTAGTTACGATTCATCCTCTGATTCTCTTGGACTCGTCATGGAACACTGGGAGTTGATTAACATGGGAAATGACAGCTCGGAGAATTCTTCACACACGCTGTAAATCAAATTGTTTTCAGTAGCAACAGATTATGTTACTAGATATCTATGTTCAAAAAATTTATATTAATAATAAGAGAAAATTATGACCTGTAGTTTTTTATTGTTGCACGGCGTCACGACAAGCTACCCAGCTATAAACCCACCCCCTATATGATGCATCAAATAAGGATAAGGTACTTAGCTAATATGGGCACTGTGTAAGTTAAGGCTTGCCGAAGTTCGCGTCCTAGGTTCCGGTCTAGCCTATCCTAGATAGGCTAGATCATCATGTTTGCTTAAATTGGGTGTAAAGTTATTTGCTCTTAGTTAAGAACTATAATAGGCTTGTAGTTTCCCTTAGTGGAAACATGTATTAAATATTGAAACATTAAATGATTAAGTTATCGGTAATCAGGAACCCTCTAAAGCTCACAATAAACTCAACAACTAGGGTCGCAGTGACATGTAATGGTGTATTACGTAGCTGCTGAATCGTAGGCAAACTCAGAAAAAGTTCCTAAGAACTGATAACACTATTGTATTGGGTCATTTAAGATCAAGGAGACTATGCCATTACAGTAAGGACACTGTCTAGGGTCGCTGTGACTTGTAACTATTGAGTTACTAGACAATAACATCACGCAGCATCATGATCACCCCAAATTCAAATAAGGAAATTGAATTTAATGTGCACTGCCGTGCAGTAGTCATTCTGACTGATGGTACAACTAATTTGCTAACTAGCTAAAATAATAGAAAAGTAGAGAACTGAAAAGTTTATTCATTAAAATCAAGGAAAATTCTGAGTCGACAGTGAGATTAGTAGCCTAGTCATTCTGACTTATGAGCTAATTGAATGGTAGCTCATAGGCTTGACACTGTAAACTTGTTAATACGAAATCAACCTTTACATGAAATTGAGTTTATTAAATCAGTCTCTATAAGTATAGTCAACTGTAATTAATGGTGAGTACAGATTAGGTTAGTACTCAGTTGACACTAACTAAAGTCCCTAAACCTACCTAAATAAATGGTTTAAATTTCTAACCTACCTAAGTAAGGGACTAAGCTAATTGTGAGCAAAAATGTACTCGAATTAACATTGGGAGCTATATTGAGCTCATTAAGCATGTTAATAAGGTGAGTTATAGTAAACCCGTCAACAGTGTTGACAGG